GGGGGGCAACATGGGGGTAGCTATTATATCATGTACAAAAGACAACTTATTTAAGGAAAGAGACTCCAACTACACCTTCACCCGAGAGGGGGGGGTGGCATGGGAACATTTAAACTTATTTTAAGAAGAGACACCTCAACTACACCTTTCCCCGAGGTAAGTTACTTGGGCTTGCGTCATGCTTGCACCAATTTTTTTTTCCTCTCGTGTAAAGCAGTCCGTCTGTTACCAGACTTTCGCCCATAGTAATAGTAAGCCACCCCGTGAGTAAAAGTCTCTTGTCACGGTATCTGTCACATTAATCAGTGTTGGGAGTGGAATGGCCTGCCTATTGGTGTACACTGTTACTCAAGGCCTCGTTAGTAATCCCGTTTCAGACGGGCGTGTGTGGTCTAGCGGCTAGGCACTTGCAATCGCACATTACAACATGGTTCGAATTCGACTGCCCTGTGTGAAGAAATACCTTTAATCGAGTATCTGTCTTTCTACTAAGACGTTGCATTCTTCTCAAATCTTGTTGGTGGGTGGTTGGCGGGTGCTCCCGTATGGTTTGCTCCTTCTTTCCTATCAAACATATATCGTCCTTATCTCTCCTCCTTCTTTTTTGTTCATGTTACTCTCTTGTAACACATCCATTCATCGGCACTTGTATAATCTTGTTGCGTTGCAAGTGCGTAAAACTCTTACGAAAACTAAACCTAAAACCCTGTTGGCCTTGACAAGTATGGTGGAAGCCTGCAATCTAAATTATTACATTTTTGTTCATCGATGCTTTTTAAAAAACACGTTTATTCTATTAAGGACGCATTAAGCTATACCTAAAAGCTTCGTACTCTTAGGCAGTAACATTTACATCACAATGCTAAGATCTCACAATCCTACATTTAGGCATTAACAGTTAATTACTTTATGAAGCTTTGCTTAAGCTTAGATCTCAATATCATACGTTTTTTTGGCATTAACATTTCCTTCATATATGATTCCCTTTAGCTCAGATCCCGAAACAGTGTGTTGTGACATCCAATTTACTCATTCAGATACAAAAAACTGTTTTGTTTGTGTATTTCTTATTCTGAGTTGATGAATGGTCAATGATTTTGCAACCATATATTTTATGCTTCATCATATGTTTTTTTTCCTTCAAGTAGAGGGCCCGTAAAATTACAGAACATTTTACTGACTTCTTTCAAAGCTTTGATTATACAGAAATGAGTCAAACGGCAAAACGCGTTTTTAGCCATTAAATTTCCAGCCTGGGTCTCAGAATTCCAGTTAGAGGATTGAAAAACCAACGTAATTGTAGACATCTAAGTCGCCGCTGGGGGCACATTACACGTCCAAGATATATTTGGAAAAAAATCCAGAAAACATCATTATCTGTTTATTTTTTTAAAGAAGACAACTTTGTCGAAACTAGAACCCGCTGTGATTTGACGAGAACAACAAGAGAACTGCTAGGAACTTTGATCTTGAGGTAGGGTTTTTCATCATTTATTTGTCAGTTTCATTTTTGTTAGAGGCCGGTGGACCGGGGTGTAGCGGTTAGGAACTTCACAGTCGCATGCAGGAGAACTGAATTCAATTCCTAGGTAGAAAGGCTTTCTGTCGAGTATCTCTGTCTTTCTGCTGGGATGCTACATCCTTTTAAGACTGGGTTGGCCCTAGTAAAACATGGACGAAGGCCGCTTCTTAAATTATCGTAATTATTTCGATTTAGAAGTAATAAATACCTTAATGAAAAAATGCGCGTCTTGCAGCAGTTCTCTGGGCTTCAAATTCTCGCTGCCTCATCATAATTTCAAATAATTGTTTTTTCATCGGTTATCACTGTTGCGATTAGTAACTGGCCAGTCGTTCTGGCAACCGGTATCATGCTAGGAGGCGTTTTGTATATCATTGGTTCAAATGACCTACCGGCTACTTACTATCATAAAAAAACCCAAAAACTTGAGACTTCACGTTTGCTCTCCTCCCTCCCCATCCACCCCCACCCCTTTCTCGCTAACCCACACCCCTACTCTTCCCCTCCACATCAACTTAATCTACATCTCCCCCTCTCCACACCACATGCCCCACCCTCCCCAACACTTTGAGTTCATAGAGACAATTCAGAAATCACTTGATTTAGAACAGTCCTATCACCACCCAATGCCAGAACAGAGACAGACATCGGCGATCATGGTTCTCCATTCATTCCTTTGCTCTGGTGTCCCAAAAAAATCCAGATTTTCCCCCGCCACCCACTTGTTCAGTCTTCCTAAGAAATGCCCCAAATACGGGGAATAAATGTCAGCGTTTCAGTGCATTTTAAGTGTTATCTGCTTGGTCCCCTGTGGCAACACTCAAAGTAACGAACTTGCTACCGGGAGAAGTGAATCCGAAAGCTGTCCGATTTTTTTTTCTTATTTGAAATACTTTTCCTTTACGCTTGCTACCCTGTCTAGTAAAGTCTACATGGATTTCTGGTATGGAGGAAAATAGGGCGGGGGCGGGGTTTTGTTGTTTTTTTTGGTTTTTTTTTGGGGGGGGGGGATGTCATCAAAACTACAACTTGAAAAAAAAATCTCAAACCACATTGTCTCCCTCATGTCGTTAGAAGAGTTTACACATTTGCACGTATTGCGGTAATTGGAGTGGCATATCTTATCTTATCTCATCTTATCTTATCTTATCTTATCTTATCTTATCTTAACGAAATAGGTAACCGCAACGCACTGTCTCTAAATCAGTGCTGGCCAATTCGGATGGTATTGCAATTTGGTGATATTATCGGCGTTGACAGGTATGATTTAATGCCCGTTTTGGATATACCTAATGATGATATAATGGGAGCCGTACGAAAATGTTTCCTTCTTAATGGCGACAAAAGTGCACTCTGGCTATAAAAATGTCGACAAGCATTGATCTAAGAAAATAAATAAATTCCAAAATTTGAGGTCCGGACGGAAACATTTCACACTGACTTCCCTATCCCGTTTACGGTGTTAAAAAAAGTACTCCAGGCTGTACAAGGATGATGGTTATTTTGCGCTTGGGTCTGACAGGTAAACGACAGCCACAACCACAAAAAAAGGAATATCGCTCTGGATAATATAATAAATTACGTTATTAGTAGAACTATTTGTCAATCGTTTTTATTGCCAGCGCTCCATTTTTTGCCAACTAGATCTACTATAAAAGGCAAACAGTTTCTTACCGCCCACTAAAATGTATTCTCAAGCGGAGAATAAAATGAACAACTGACAATACCGGGATATTCCCCACATGCCACCAAAATTACCAAATCGCCCATTAGTGACGTGAGGGCTTAGGACAAACAATGCCTCTTCTATCATTTTCTCCTGTACATGATTTATGCCCACGTCGACATAAATTATGACTTAATAAGCTCTTTATTTCTAAATGATAATATAAAATAAAGAGATCTTCTATTCAAAGGTAAACACGTTCACAAGAAAAATACTCATGTGAATTTAACAAATTCTCTCTCCCCCCCTCTCTCTCTCTCTCTCTCTCTCTCTCTCTCTCTCTCTCTCTCTCTCTCTCTCTCTCTTTTCTCTCTCTCTCTCTCTCTCTCTCTCTCTCTCTCTCTCTTTCTCTTTCTCTTTCACTCTGTCTTTCTTTTTCTCTCCCTCTCTCTGTGTCTGTCTGTATGTCTGTTATCGGTATGTCTGTTATCGGTATGTCTGTTATCGGTATGTCTGTTATCTGTATGTCTTTCTCTCACGATAGCTCTCTTTACCCCCCCCCTCCCTACACAACCCGCCTCCTCACTTGATTATACCTCACACCGCAACACTTTATTATTATACTATCTCTATCTCATAACATCCCTCACATTCTCCTATCCCCCCAGACTTTCTTCAACTTTGTATGGAAGTTGGACGTACCTGTTGACTGAAGTTAGACACGTTTCGTTCACTGTGAAAATGTTACGGTATCTCTTGAAGTTCTTGAAGGCTGGTTAGCCTGTGGTAAGACAAGGTGTTGGTGGCGTCCCTTGGAGAGCTGGGGAGGACAACTAACTGGTGGCCTCAGAGCCCTCCACTTGGATTTTATACAAACTGCTCTACAGCTGATCCCCACCAGCACCCCACAGGGATCTCACCCTCCTCCTCCTCTTCTTCCTCCTCCTCCCCCTCTCTCCCCCTTCCCTCCCCCCCCCCTCTTTTCTACACCCTCTCATCCTTTTCTCTCGGCTGTTCCGTCAATCAATCCATCGATTCTTGGCTGTTCCAGTAGCCTCCCGTGGAGATGGTGACGTCTTTTCCGTGGTGCCAGCGAAGTGGGGAGAGCAGGTACGGGGAGTTAGAGGGGAGAGGGGAGAGAGAGAGACAGGAAGGGGGAGAGAACGCACGGGGGTAGAGAGGGGAGGGTGAGAGAGACAGAGAGAGGAAGAATTGGTAAAGGGAGAGAAGGCACCGTGGTAGAGGGGAAAGGGGAGAGAGAGAGGAATGGGGAGAGAATGCACAGGGTAGATGGA